CCCCAAAACCCCAAAACCCCTCATACATATATTTGCAAGAAATTAAAGAAATAATAATAAATGATTTACAAAGGATAAAATAATATTTTATAATAATCTTTCCAGATTTAAAAATCTTTTAAAATGACGTAATGTATTCTAAATAGTGATAAAAACTATAGAATCAGTATTAAACCTATTCTTTCATAATTGATCTTGGTACTGTTATTTATCATTTAAGGAACAAATTCATATGATATTTGTTATGGTCCAAAATAATTTCCTATACAAGTTTCTTTGGGAGATCTTTATAAAGAATCAAGAATTTATGCAGTTGATATGGATAAAGATGCGAATAGCGGTATAGTTTTAGGAGGAAGTCTCCATGATAGTTAAGAATTATTACCTTTGATAGGATATTTCTCGACTGAGGAGGGAAATGCACACGTTCAATGGATATTTACGTATAGTAATACAGGTACTATTCTAACCATTAGCCCAATTAAAATAGAATATGTATCATCATTACATATAAAGAATTAGAAAGTGTTTGCTTTATTGATTACTGAAACCAAAGATAGCGTACTAACTATGCTTGATGTAAAAACTGGTACTGCTTTTTATTTTTTTGTTGTTGCTATCAAATCATTAGAGCTAAATGGACATATGCATTCAGTAAGACCTTAAGCTTTTGAGGTTGATTCAAATTCAAGAGTCTATATTGCCCTAGATCTTTTTTCATCAGATACAACTTCATTCTTATTAATTGATTAAAATCTTGGATCTATTATTAATAAAGTTTCATTTCAAATACAAACTATCAGGAGTTTGCTTTTTGATAATTCTAATTAAAATCTATACTTTGCTGGTAGTACATTAAATTAGGAGAACTATAAATATGTGTTGGGTAAATTTGATAATGAACTTTCTAGTCATTATGCCCAAGAATTTACTCTTAATGGGGATTCAAAGTACTATTATGATTCTACCGTATAGTTAATGGAATTTAGTAAAGATGGAAAATACTTGAGCGGGTGTACTTCTAGAGATACCACCACTATAAATAAACCATCTTCACTTGGAATTTTCAACCTTGATTCAATTAATTTTGAAATTCTTACTAGTTATGTATTTTTCTCAGATGTTAGTCAATATTAGTGCATGATGGCATATTTCAATGAAAACGGTGATCTTTTTGTACATTTTACTTAAAGACCTTTAAATAAAATATACCAATAATCATATGGATATTTAAGAATTAATTAAGATAGTATCGATAGCAATTCTAGATTATTAGCAGTAGAAACCTATTAGCTAAGAACTTATTCTATCAATGTAAAATATAACGTGACAACAATGAAACTAGTAAATTTTTAGCACCAATTAATTGCAGGCACATATATTTCTGATGCATTATAATAAGGATTTGTTAGCATTAGTCATTAAAGCTAATACAAATGCTAAGATTTAATAGAGAATAATTTAAGTTATTCTACTGATGTAATTCAATTAATATCGTTTGCAACTCAATTCTTCAATTATTGGCCTGACCTTTTTGAATACTTTAATTAACTAGACATACGTAACTTATAAGATGTAAGAGCTTCTATTCAAAGTTATCCAAGTTAAGAGATTTACAAATGCACTGATTCAACCAAAATAAGCATAAATTTTTAACTTCATGAACAACTAATCAATGGTAAAATTCTAACCTGTTATGAAGGATTTAATTGCTCAAATATAACCCTTATTTAGCTAAGGTAAAATAATTGCTCTGATTCCTAGTAAATAACCATTAAATTGTAAAAATAAAAACAAGGAGTAATAGTAGAACCTCCTCATCAGATAAACACATAATTATAGAGTGATTTTACTTAGACACTAAATATAGATGTACCTTATTTCTAATGGTATTTATCGTTTGATGAGATAAATGTGATAATAGTGACTGTCTAGCCTATAAAAGCATTGATAGATTACGGTTATGTAGAGATAAAAGAAACATTGTAAATATTCCCAAGATCATGCAATTAAATACTTAATAGTATTCCAAAATATTATGATATAAACCTAGATTATGTTATTGGAGACTCTGTGCAAAATATAGTTCTACTCGATTATGTAAACCCTAAACAATGCTTTGATATAAGTATTGAATAAGAATTTTTAATTCCAAAATAATTCGATTCTGTCTATGCTGAGATCATAGGTTTCAAAAAATTTCAGTACTAGTCGAATGATCAAAGACTTAAAACATAAAAATTAACAGTAACACTAACTGCCATTTTAAGTAGCTTATAAACATTTGCTAATACTATAACTGTATCATTCAACATATAAATAAACTTTTACGCTTTTCATTATGTTGACTTAACAAGGTATTAAAGAACATAATATAATAATTCTGCCCCATATTTCAAAACATTGCTAAATGAATAAATCGTTTATGAAGATTCAATTTATAATGTAAAACTGCCAGCAATCTAGGATAATGAAAATGCCACAAAATTTGTTACTTTAGCTAATGATATACTCAAAATTGCTCCATTAGAAGGCGATAAAGGTGAATACTGAATTAAGATAATTTTGTTGCAGCAAGGTAACCCAAGAATCTACAACACTTATTAGTTTAAGATATCTGTAAAAGACAAGTTATCTGGTATAAAATCAGAAGATGATTAAAAGTTAGTATTCAATGAAAATTAAATAATGTAGATATCTTAAGCTTTGGACTCATTATAAGCTAGAATTAAAAGTATATCTTCAACCGGCTAAGTTTGAATTGTATTTTAAAGCGAAATCTTTACTCATAAACTCCTAAGAAGTTTAGCACAACAAAGCATTAAAATTTTAGTCTCGATTTAAGATGGGATGATAATTAAATCAGTAGACTTCTAAATTTTAGATATTTCAAATCAAATAATGAAACTACAGCTCCTGTACTCTTTTGATTAATCAATTATTTCTCAAAATTCAGTAAATATTTCTTTTAATAATTTTAGGCAGATCTACTAATAGTGTAATTCATTAAGAAAGACATATTTTTTACCAAAGATTTCAAAAGAAAAATAAAATAAAATTACTTAATTGAAAAAATTATGCCAGCATAGATTAATGCTAATTCCTTAGAGTTAAACTCAGCAGTGGCAACTACAATATTATGGACAATGAATTCTCTATTTAGTGCTAATCTAGGAATCAATATACTGATGTAAAGCTGACTTAACTTATTTTTATATGTTTTAGGAGTTAAAGTGCTCAATTACTATGGAGTATGATAGAAGATTTTTAATTGATCACTCATCTAGCATTAATGAACATACAGTTACCAGGAAATACAATATCATTTTTCGGATTAATAAATGACATTGCTAGTTTCAATTTGATACCAATGGATAAATTAAATAATCTAGCTCTTGACTTTAATTACAAAGATGATAGTTCTTATAAAGTTTTCAATGTTGCTTTTGAACAAATGAACTACAATTCATTAAACTTTATTCTAAATATGGGACTATTATTTTACATTATGATAGCAAACATAATGTTTACAATTTTTGCCCTTGCATTTCATCTTTTTGCACTCAATAGAAAATTGTATTTAGATTTGCATTTTAACCTTAATAGGAAAATTATTTAAAGATATTGTGATAATATATTATTCAACTAAATCTTGAGATTTTTCATTGAAGCTTATATGGAACTGTGCTTAAATAGTTTAGTAAATGTTTAAAATGTAAGATAATATATTAAGATTGACATTTACAGATAGTTTTATTATAATCTGGGAATATATTAGGTTCTCTTTGCTCAGTGATATTTTCAGTTGGTATATTTATTTTTCCAGCTTTGATAGTGTTTTTAATAAGAAATTAGTCATTAAAATCTCAAAAGAAAAAACACTTTAAAATTGATACATTGACTGAGCATTTGAAATAATCAAGATAAATTTATTTGTTAAAATATCCAATCTTAGTAACAAGAAGATTAATTATCAGCTTTAGCCTTGTTTTCCTATCAGATAATTAAAGCCTTTAAATCTTAATCTAAATAGCACTTTCATTTTCAATAATGATATACCTAACTGAGACTTAACCTTATTTAGCGAATCGAAGGAACAAATTGGCTATTTTTAATGAAGGATTTTTCTTTATAATTTGTCTTAGCATTATACCATTTATTTCTCATTTCTAAATGGAAAATAATTTAAGATAGATGCTAGGATATTTACCAATCATATTAGTGCTTTTGTATCTAGTATTTAATTTCATCATGATTTTAAATGAAACTATTGATAAAATCAGATTATATCATAAATAAAAGAAGAGGAAAGGAAAAAATATTTAATCTAAAGAGCTAGTTAAACAGTAAGGATAATCAGCATTAGAAATGAAATTATAAAAATCAATATTATTTGCATAAAATTAAGCTAATAAGACAAAAATATTTGAAAACGATTCAATAATTTAAACCTAAGAATAAAACTTTGAATCCAGCATGAATCTAACACTTAGCATTAAAAAATCATTAAATACTAAAGGTTAAATGATTCATCCAAAGAAGAAAACATTAGCGAAGACCAAAAAATTTAATAGGAAAAGAAAATCATCGTTTTTGTAATTAATCAAATGATTTTTAGTTATTGGTTTCGCTTTATGCAATAATCTCGGAATAATTCAAAAGAAACAAATCCCTAAATTAGCTTTAGTGAAACTTAATTTTGAATTAACAGATATTAACACAATTTCTTTAGATTTTACAATGGGATAAGAGATTAATTGAATGATTTAATATGAATTATTCTAGTTATGAAATACATATTGATTATCCCTGCTACCTAAAATCTATATCATTAAACTATACAGAATACAATAGTGATTAAAAGTTCTTTGATTTAAGTACAAGGAATCTTATATATTTAAGATATTTTAGTTTTCTCAGATTCTCTGTTTTCCTAACCATTGGGGTTTTGGGCACTTTATGGTTGTTGGGT